AAGGCTAGTGCTCTACCACTTGAGGCACAGCGCCACTTCCGGCTTTTTTCTTATGTGGTGCTGAGGAATCGAACCCAGGGCCTCGAGCATGCAAGGCAAGCGCTCTATTACTGAGCCACCTTCCCAGCCCTATTCCATTTTTTTAAAGTAACTTCTTATTTACCATGAAACAAGAAGCCAAAGTACAAATTGCCATAATTTTATTTACAGCATGATTGAAATAGGATCCACAGGGTATGGCTAGTTACAGGGCTCAATGTATACAATTTTTCCCTCGACCCTCATTTCCTCCCTCCGTCTCATCTTCCTTCTCTTTCTTTTGCAAGTTTCCATTCTTCCTGCAGTTCCCTTCCATCTGGATTTTGCTAATTGGATACTCACATGCCAATGACCATGTTCTGTTTCCTGTATTTCAGTAAGGTGGTAGTTAATTCTAGATTATTTCTCAGATTCATGGGGGGAGAGGGAACTCTGTGGTAAATCCACACACACTATCTATCCTCCTCATCAGGATATGGCTACTGTGTCACATTTGAGAAGCAAATGTCAGATTCCTTGCTCTATTAAGTCATACTGCCTGTACTATGAACAGCACATCTTAAACCATCTCCCTTTTTCACAAGAAGTGCAAGTTTAAAGTAAGGGGGTGAGAAGTGGCATTTTTAAACACTGTTTGTGCATGGGAGAGTTCTTGGGAGCATCTCTTGCCTATCTATGAGCTCTCTACTCCGTGTAATAATCTAGCAGAGTGGTTACATTAATCCAGTTTTACATATGAGAAAAACTAAGGGCCAGAGAGGTTAAATAATATGTTCGAGAATAATCAGCTCCAAAGAATGAAACAAAACTAGGTGCAGTGGCTCATGCCTGTAATCCTAGCTTCTCAGGAGGTAGAGACAGAGAGGATCTCAGTTAGAGGCCAGTCTGGACATGAGTGCGACACCCATCATAATCAACAAAAGCTGGATGTGGCAGTGTGCACCTGTCATCCCAGCTACTCAGAGGGCATAGACAGTCCAGCAGGGCAAAAAGTTGAGACCCTATTACAAGAAACAAGGAAAGCAAAATCTGCTGAGAGTGTGGCTCAAGTGGCAAAGAACTTGCCTAGCAAATGTAAGACAAAACTCACAACCTCAGTATCACAAGAGAAACGGGTGTTGGGGAAACGAAACAAAACCCCTAATTAGCATCTTTCTGTACTGATGGTGCATTTGAATCCATGTATGTCAGCACGGCACCCAAGGCCCAGTGCAATCATCAGGGCTAACTGCCCACCTCCACTGTAGCTCCATTGTTGCTGTCTAACAAGCTCACGTCTCTACCCTAACTCCTGCCGTCTCCCAGCCATGCCTCTGACACCCTACTCATCCTTCAAAGCTCAGCGCTATGGTCATGGTCACTGTCACAAAGCTTTCTCTTGATTCTCCCTGCCTGACACCTTTGTCTGAAGATATGCCTTCTTGTTTTTTACTGCAACTTCTGTGTATATATAAATGTCTCCAGTATTGATTTCTTCAAAGGCAGTCATGGAAAACATATCCTATGCCCTTCACTTAACCCAGGACAACACACTAAGACTGTGGACCCAAGTGTTTGTTTGGAAACAGGGTAGGGGTGAGGGTGCTGCTCACTTCCCTAGTCAGGAACATATTGTGAGCAAGTGCTATAGAATCCTGACATACTTGAAGGGTGTAATTCTGCTCATAATTTATCCAAGGTCACCAACTCAACAGAAAACATAAAATCAAAATGTCATTAGAAGCATGATTTAACTCGACTGCTCGTTAACTCTATCCCACTGCATAAATTCATATAAAGTATACTTATAAAAACAGTATAGACATATTCAATAGACTATTGGGTAGAAAGAGAAGCATGTAAGGATAAGGTTTCATTCATTCATTCAGTATATATTTGAGTACTTCCTAGAGCTTACACTTTAACAGGCGTGATAGACAAAAACAGCGATTAGTAAAATTCATAGTATAGTTATGTGGCAGTAGGTGAATGCAGAAACATGAAGCAGAAGAGATTAAACACACACACACACACACACACACACACACACACAGAGTATTTCAATGAAGATGTCCAAGTGGAACCCTCCTGAGGATGTAGATTGGGGTCAAAACCTACAGATTTTATACTCACATGAATGATATTGAGGGAAAATGAAAGGCTACACTAGGTGTACAGAATGAGACAATTTTCCTTTCATCCTTATATAAACATTTATTATACTTCTTTTTGGGGAAGAGGGGGGGTCCTATCGTGGGGCCTGAACTCTGGGACTGGGCGCTGTCCCTCAGCTCTTCAACTCAAGGCTAGTGCTCTACCACTTGAGCCACAGCGCCACTTTTGGCTTTTTTCTTTTTGCTTATGTGGTGCTGAGGAATGGAACCCAGGGCCTCAGGCATGCAAGGCAAGCGCTCTACCACTGAGCCAACTTCCCAGCCCTTATTATACTTCTTAAATACTATTGTATCGTTTTTGTATTACCACAAAAAATAATAAGCACTCCAAAATCTTTCGGGGAAAAAGAAAGTAAGCAAAACAACTTACACGAATACAAAGAACTTCTCTCAGTTAATGTTCTGCTACACCATTAAAGGCATACTTTTGTCTCAGTTTTAACACTGCTGCTTCTATCCACCATTCGTAACACATCCCTCAATGCAATAAGGAGAACTGCATCCCATGGCTATTTCTAGAATCTATCTCACTTGAAATGTTTACTCTCTGCATATGCAAACTTTACTTCTTCTTCCACATCTCTGGAAACCTCTGCCAAGACGGATTATTCCATACAGTGACCCCTGCTTAGGAAAAGCTATGGGCCTTCTCAACAGAGGCAGAGAGACAGGTAAATTTACGATACACACTGGTTTGCTAGGGCAGAACAGAAAGAACAGGAAGGAAGTGGGGAAATGCACAGGAGAAAGCATTTACTTTTGTGCCAGATGAGACAAGACACCTCACAAACTTCAAATGTTGTCTTGATTAGAAGTCAAAGGAAGGAGGACATTATAGAAAAGTAGAACAGACTGAGAAAAGATGGAGAGAATGAACACAGAAGAGGGAGACCAAGATTTCAAATGCAAGAAAACGGGGATGGGAATCCAGGGGCCTGTAATCCTGGCTACTCAAAAAGCTGAGATCTGAGCATTGTGGTTCAAAGCCAACCTGGGCAGGGAAGTCCATAGACCTTTTATCTCCAAAGCAGGAAGAGGAGCTATGGCTCAAGTGGTAGAGTGCTAGCCTTGAGTGAAAAAGCTAAAGGACAGTGCCCAACCCCAGCCCCAGTACTAGTTCACACAGGAGAGAGCAGAAGAAGAAGAAGAAAAAAAAAAAAGAAATCTTGGAAGGGGGGAATTAGAAGCAATGGCTTTGAAACACAGATGGCCTAAAACCCTTAGATTACAGTGGAAGCAATATTAAAGGTTTTGTCTTTTCTTTTTACTTTTTTTCTTTTCACTTTTTCTTTGTGATTGTAATTATGTAGTGATTTTCAGTTTTGAAATGGCAACTGTGTCTTAAAAATGGAGAGTGGGCTAGAAAGAGAAGTGATAACCAGCCAATTACACACGCAGGTGTTGAGAAAGCGTATTAATTGGATAAGACTCTCCCAGGGGGAACACAAGTCTTTCCACCTCCACCCTGTACCACGTGTAAAGGCAGCAGTGCATGGTGGGAGTGGAACTGTTTGTCAGTTGCTCTAAACATATTAGTTTTTTCTCCTTCCATGATTTTAAAACTTAGGAACACACAAAGAAAGTTGTAAAGTTCTAGAGTCTTGACATTGGGGTAGAAATCCACTTACTTGCTGGTGATCTCCAGGAAATGACTCAATGTCCTGGTGCCTTGTTACTGTTGTAATCTACAAAACCTAATCATGAATTGGTATTGTAGAGTGATAAAAACAAGGTATATTGGAAGGGAGGAAGGGGGGAAGAAAGGGAGGGAGGGAGAAAGGAAAGAAGGCAAGAAGGAAGGAAGGAAGGAAGGAAGGAAAAAGAGGAAGGGTAAAGAAATGAGGCAATCTCTGGCATACAGTAAATCCTTAAAAAAAATCTTCTATTTGGTATTCACTATCATAAGGCATGTAACATATGTTCAACACCATACTCAAAGATCTGATAGCTGCCAATCACATGTTCCTATCAGCCCTGGAGAAAGTTTAAAACATTAAATGCTTCCTCGGGTGTATCTAGGTTAGGCTCATTTCTCATGTGATATTTGGGGGACGGGGGTGAAGGGGTGTCTTTCAAGCGAGTTAGGCCAGGGAAGAACCTTTCCTTCCTCCAGCAGGATCACTTTTGACCGCTCGTTGAAGAACAGCGACCGTCATGGTGTGACCCTCACTTCCCAAAGCACACCAAACCAGAACCAAAAGCACCCAAGGGAGGGTTATCGGGAAGGGAACAAGAAACCCTGAAGATGCGGGCCCCGACTGCACCCCCTCTCCACCCCGATAAAGCAGTGACTTTGCACAACTCTCCAAAGGAAGAACTTCTAAAGTATAACATGCATTATTATTAATAATCATAATAATTTATTTTTCGAGTTCAGGAAAGTGCCCGGCCGGCGAGCTCGCGGGAGAGGAAACGCATTCTCCCAGCCGACACTCTGTTGTGGGGAGGGGGGCATGGGGTCACCGACAAGTCCGGGATCAACTCCCCGGGGTGGCCGGACGCAGGGCGGGCGGCCTCCTCCCCCGCGGACCGGCCCCGCATTCCTGCCCCGGTCTATACTTAACCTCCGGCCCGCGCCCCGCGGCCGCCGCGCCACGCCGTGCACCGTATTAAGCAATGTCCGGCGCGCGCCGGCGCGGGCCCCCCCGCCCCACCCCCGCGCGCCCCCAGCTCTGAATGTTCAGGAGGACCTCTCCCCCCCCAGGAGAAGATTGGCCGCTCCCGAGCTAGACACCCAGGGGCAGGGAAGGACCTCCCCAGCCCTCCTCCCCCCCCCGAGGCAGGGGGGGAAGGAGGGGGCGCGCGTACCCGGCGGTCATGGCGATGTTGTAGAAGGTGAGCCAAGCTGTGGCCAAGACGCCCAGGCGCCTCCTCTTGCCCGTGGCCTCCTTCTCCTCGCCGGCCTCCGGGGCACCACCGTTGGTGCCGTCCTCGTCGCTGGACGCCATGAGGGCCTCGCACCCGGGGGTCGTGCCCGGCAGGGGCAGGGGAGTGGGTGGGGGTCCGGCCGAGCGCAAGGCTGAAGCGCCGCCGCCCGCTGCCGCCGCCTCGGACCAGCGCACCATGTACCGCGCACAGGGGGCTCGGCGCCGCCCGCCCGGCCGCCCGGCTGTCCGCCTGGCCACCACCACGGAACGCCCCGCCCCCGGCCCCGCCTGTCCCGAGCGCTTGGGACGCCCAGGCCCGAGGGGGGGGGCGAGGGGGGTTCGGAGTGGGAGGGCCGCGGGGCCCGGGTCACAGCTCCCGGGTGGCACTAGGGTTGGCACTGCCGTGGGGTGGGGTGGGGACAACTTTTCTTCCTAGAGAGACGCCCCGAGGTGTCCCGAGTCCCGGCCACGTGCGCCTGGCCCGGGACCCCCCCCCCCGCCGCGACGCCGTACACCTGCTCCGGCTCCGCCCCGCCCCGCACTCAGGAAAGCGCTTTCTGGCGGTGGATCCCCGATCCATAGCGGTGGATCCCCGATCCACCCCACCCCACGCCCCGCAGCGGACTCGATCGAAATTCGCGTCTGGGAGAAGAATGCTGTGGTTGTCCCCGGCGCTGGCACCGGCCAGGCCAGCTGGACGCGGACCTACCATGAGTGAGGGATTCTAAGGAGCCAGGGGTTCTAAGCTCTGGGATGCCCAACGACCGCAGAACCGCGCTCGGGGCTCGGAGGAAGGCTGGAGGGAAGACGCTGAAGTGGGAACAGGTATAGGTCCCCGCCAGGAAGGGTGTGCCCGGGCCCACTTGCTTTCTCCTTCCTTCCCTTCCTCTTTCCTTCCTTCCACCCTCCCTTTCCCTTCCTCCCGCCCTCCCCTCCTTCCTTCCTTTCTCTTCTTTCCCTCCTTTCCCTTTCTTCTCCTTCTTTCCTCCCTTCTTCCCCTCCCTCCCTCCTTTTCCCTTCCTTCTCCTCCCTTTCTTCCTTCTTCCTTCCTTCCTCCCTTCTTTCCTTTCTTCTTTCTTTCCCTCCTTCCTCCCTCCCTCTCTTCCTTCCTTCCTTCTTCTGCGTTCCTTTCTTCCACTCCCCCCCTTCTCCCTCTCTCTATTTCCCAGTCACCCCCATCTCCCTCCCTCTCCCCCAACCCTTCCTTCCTTCTTCCCTCTCTTTCTTTCAAAGAACCTCAATGAAAACTGTTGATCCTTGGGTTGTGGAGTGTTAGGCTCCGTCAGGGGAGAGTACTAGAGGGCGCACCTTGAGCTAAACAAGGACAAATAGAGTCTATATAGCTTGTTTGCAGTTATGAAAATACAGGGAAGCCTGGCAGCCGTGGCTCACGCCTGTAATCCTAGCTACTCAGGAGTCTGAGATCTGAGGAGACTCATCTCCAATGAATCACTCAAAAACCGAAAGTGGATCTGTGGCTCAAAGTGGTAGAGTGCTAGCTAGCCTTGAGCAAAAGAGCTCAGGGACAGTGCCTAGGTCCTGAGTTCAAGCCTCATGAAAGGCGAGAAAAGAAAAAGAAAGAGAAAGAAAGAAAATAAAACAAGGAAACCTGTTAAAATTGAGTAAGAGAGAAAGGAAGAGTGATAAAGATGGTGGAAATATATTTTAAACATACGAATATGTAACCATGAACCCCCCCCATAACTAATATAAGCAAATTTTAAAAAATCATATACACTTTCTCCAAATAGCTCGTTCCTCCTTCCCTTTAAGCATGCATTTAACAAGCCAGGCTAGGGAGTCAGATTTCTGAAACTTAAACCCCAAATCCTTAACTCCACCGGTTTTATTAGCAGGGTGAACTTGGGCAATTTAAACTCTGGGCCACAGTTTACTCCGTTGGCATTAAAAAGCACTCTATCGCTTCGTTGTGAAATTGAGGTGGCATTATCCATTAAACAACATGTTGAGGTGCGCACCTCGAATCAGCATGTTACCTCTATTCTGGTAATGCTACCTTAATTCAGACTTTCTGCATCCAGTAACTGAGAAGGTCTGAGTGTTGCAATTCTCCAGGAACCAAAGCCTAATCAAGGGCCCGACATGGACCCCTCCTTGCAAGACGAACTCCGCCTGCCAGACAAATCCTGCATAGCCTTGGGCAGGATATTAAGTCCTCTCTGTGCTTGGCGTTCAAAGCCCCAGCAAGTTTGGGAAGAAACCTGGTCCACTGGGGCACGAGGGACGAGTTCCTCACCCAGATGGTACTACTGGCCTAATCGTAAATCCTTAGAGGAACACATTCCAACTAGGAAAGGAGAAGGAAGGCTTGGGAGAGAAAATCTGAGGAATTCCTTGGGAAGAAATGAGAGACCCAAAGTTGCTCAGATTTGTTAGAAAAGCATTTAAATTAGAAAGGAAGAACTGTTTTTACTTGCAAATGACCACACTTACAGAAAAACCGAAGAATCCTAAGGAAAAAAGAAAAGCCTTTATGGAACCAATGGTAGGATAAACATTTGTTTATACCAAAAATCAATCCACTTTCTACCCACTAATAATTTTTAAATATCCCCCAGAATAAGTTTAAAATAAAACCAAATGTGTGTCAGTATCCCAAACTGTTAACTATAAATGGGTAATTTTAATAAAATATGCTCTCAGGCCTGTAATTTGAAACTGAATCACTGCTGAAATCTATTAATCACCACTGAGAGAAATAAAATGCCTAGACAGACATTCCAAAAAGACAGCACCATGAAAATGTCAGTCTTCCCCATATCCTGCTGGTATTTTTGCTTTTGGCAAGGTAACTCTAAAATTTATCTGGAAATATATAGTAAGAACAAAATGGGAATACATACATAACTGATTTTAAGGCAATCTATGAAACCCCAGTTATTGTGTAGTAGGTATAAGGAGAGACAAATCAATGATATTGTAGTATTCTGATACAGATTCATCTGTATACAATCACTTTCAACAAAGAAGCTAAAGTCAATTCAGTGTTGGGTTATTTTTTAATAAATGAAACAACGGGCTATCCATATTAAAAAAAATAAATTTTCAGCCAGGCACCAGTAGCTCACATCTGCAATCCTATCTACAGGAGGCTGAGATCTGAGGATGGTAGTACAAAGCTAGCCCCTGCCCAGGCAGCAAAGGCCCTGAGACTCTTATTGCCAATTAACTACCCACAAAGAAACCCACACAGAAAAATAAAAAGCTGGAAGTGGAGCTGGGACTCAAGTGGTAGACACTAGTCTTGAGCAAAAAAGCTCAGGGACAGTGCCCAGGCCCTGAGTTCAAGACTCAGGACCATATGAATAAATGAATGAATGAATGAACTTCCATTCTTACTTCACACCACAGACAAATGTGAATTTGAAATGGATCATCAACCTAAACTTTAAAACAGAAGTTGTAGAAGAAAATCTAGCAGGATCTTTGTGACCTTTGGGAAGGGACAATGATTTCTTCAGTACAAACAAAATATATAACAATAATCTTCCAAAAGTGAAAAAAAAGACTGAATGTTATCAAAATATAAAAGTCTATTCTTCTAAAAAACAACCTTTCAAAGGCAAAAATATTCACAGTACATTTATCTGAGCAGGAGCTGGTATACAGAATTTACAACAAAACCTTAACAATGTAATAAAACCATCTGGTTTCTTAAAACAAGCAAAAAATGGAATAAGTGCCTAAAAAAAAAAAACAGAAACAGCATATACAAAATGCTTGATCTTGTTCGTCATTTGGGAAACACAAACCTACAGGGTGATATCACTAACCCACTACTAAGGTGTCTAGTATTTCAAAATGTTGGCAAGGATGGGAAGCTATTGGTGTTTTCAGACAAGGCTGAGAAGAATACTGCTTCAAAAAGCAACTTTGCTGTTTCTTCAGATCAGGGTACATTCCCCAAAATGACCTACTAGTTTCATTCTTGATAGTTAACCAAGAGAAAATAAGAATACATGTCTTGGATACAAATGTTTATAACTGTTTTAGTCACAGTATCTTCAAACTAAAAATAACCCATGCATCCAGTAACATGTGAGTAGACAAATTGTAGTGTATTCATACAATGGGATATTACTGAAACTACTGTACATGCAACACAAATAAATCTTAGGAAATTTATGCTGAGCAAAAGAAGGCAGACACCAAATTGTATATGTTACTTTTTAGAGTAAGAAAATATAGTCAATAGTGACAGGGTTGTCTGGGTCTGGAGGTGTCTGTAAGGAGAATAAACTAAGAATAAACAGAGCCAGGTGGTGATGGCTCATGCCCGTAATCCTATCTACTCCGGAGGCTGAGATCTGAGGATCTACGTTTGAAGCCAGCCTGGGCAAGAAAGTCCATGAGACTCTCATCTCCAATTAACCATCAGAAAACTGGAAGTGGAGTTGTGGCTCAAGTGGGTTGTATGTTAGTCTTGAGCAAAAAAAAGTTCAAGGGCAGCAACTAGGCCCTGAGTTCAAGTCCCATTACAGAGAGGGTTGGGATGGGTAGGGGGAGGAGGAGAAAAAAACCCACAGCAGAACTCCTTTTAAGTTAATGTACTTAATAGTTTTTGCTGGCTCAAAGTGTAAAGAGCCTGGCTACTGAGCATGGAGCCCTGAATTCAAACCTCAGAACCATCTTAATTTTAATGAATGAATGAATTAGGTTTTCTTCCAAATAATGACTTTGAAGTATTGAATATGACATGATATGTACCTCATTTTTGCAATAGCTGGGTTTTTTACAAAGCTGAATCTAATAAGTTTTATTTTTAAAAAAAGCTTAAATACCCTAGGAATAAATATATCAACAGATTTGTAGATTGTTAAAAAGTAGATAATTCATTATATGTTAGTTACCAAGATGAATGAAAAACAAGAGCTACCTTCATACATTTAACAGTGTTTTATAGCAGATAAGAAAAAAGATCTTAAAAATAATGTATTTGACAATGTCAGGATGTTAGCAGTACACCACCTCCCACATGCCAAATGTTTATTCCATGTTTTGGTTTGGTTTTAGTTGGGTGAAGATTGTGATTTGAGGGGATTGAACCCTGAGCCGTGCACATGTGGTAGGCTACACCTATAATCTATTGAGTTACACCCCAATCTTGTTCTTTATTTAAGAAAGGATTTTGCTATATAGCTCAAGATGGCATTAAATTTGTGATCCTCATGCTTCAGCTTGTCCAATGCTGGGATTACAGCAT